TCTCTATTTTCACTTTTACTCATCGAGTCTTTTCCTGCATACTGTATTATGTCATCAGAGTGATAAATATATTTTAGAAATACAGAATATGCGATGAGCTTTTTTGAACTATTACCCGTTATAGCCGATCTTAAATATACAAGGGGGGATATTAGTCATAACTGCGACGCTTGGCAGACGTTTGGGCAACTGTAGTATTTTATTTTTATTTTTAGTTGTTTTATAAGACCCTGTTGCGCATCTCCTTGTTTGTTTTCCTCTGTCGTTTGTTATGACACCCACGGGACGATATGGGGTGGTTACATAGTGGTAAGTGGTGGTACAGGTCGACATAGTGTAACTGTTTTTACACTATGTCGACTCCACATAGTAGAGCTAGGTATATAAACAATATCTAATATTTTATGCAAGAATTAAATTGTTCTAAAACAACGAAATAAAGCTGCAAGAATTAATTCCGCAAAAGTTCGTAAGTAAATTTAGCGGGCAGATGGAGTAATCAAGTCGAAAGCCGGGATAAAACCACCCCGGAGAGTCGGCTGCGCGAAAAATGCAAATTGCGCTAGAATCCCGGGAAACAACAGGATCGCGACAATGTCGCTATCTCTTTACCCATTACGTATACACGGTTTCTATGCTCAAAGTAATACAAAATACATGTTGCGGTAGAGTTATGCAGAAGTACGACTGTAATTGACGACCAGGGGAGTACTAAACTCTCAGAGGGTACCAACGTAAAATAGCAGCATAATACTCCTGTTTCGTATAAGAAGGAACGAGAACCAGATATAATTTTTCGGTGGAAGAATATCTACTTTCCCACATCATACCGTGAGTGTCTCAAAAGGTGACAGTCTTATAACGAATAAAAATGAAACTGCGGTTGCCAATCCGCTTGCCAAGCGACTATGACATTTATCCCCACTGGCAATCTAAGGGGGGGTTCTATGTTCAGTAGTAGACTTTAATTGCTGTAACGGATAGCTTTTTAGTCTTCAGGGATGATAACGCATCCGCTTTTGGTTTGTCGAGGATAGATGTAGGGGTCTCAAGATCCGTTCATCATTATGTCGATTGCGAGCATGTCTATCGTCTTTTTTCTGTAGAAGAGCAAAAATCTGGAGCTATTTGTTGGCCCTAGGGACGATAAATGACATGGGTAAGGGAACATGAATTGACTGTGTAAATTTCTATATTTTCCTTTGATCAAGACAGGATGACATGAAATCAGTCGAATAGATTTTCTTATCTAGCTACTTTGACCATATTATAATGGCGATGTAGAATATCCGCCATATTATCGCCCCGTGGGCGCGGTGCGCGTGGGGCTAGAAGAATGCCTCTAACACGATCCTCAGCCACCTGTTGACTCCGTTTCTTCGACTTGATTCGTTTCTTCGATTGACTCCGTTCAGCTACCTTTGAAATATAACTCTCTCGGAGTTTCTCAGCGTGATAGAATTCTAAATGAGGATATCCGCACTAGAAGCAGAGTAACTGGCATAGCCCTTCTGATCAGTAAGCTGAAGTGACAATATGGCAGCATTACAACTCGAAGAACCGGGAACCGACGTGGAAGAAAGGTCTTCTTCGATAGGCATTCGTTTGCCGGTGAGCGATATGTAGGGCGCCTCCCACTAGATGGAGTGACGACCGGTTAAGACATGCGTCTCGTATATATTTTGACTTATATGTTTTGACTACCTCGTTGGTATAGTGGTTGTAGTAGTGCGACTGCTGGTCATGAGGTGCTGGGTTCGAATCCAGGGTCGGGCCAAAAAAATCATTTATTGAGTTTTTCCGTCAAGAAATCTTCAGTAAGTTCCGTCGAGAAATTTTCAGTAGCTGCCCGGAGAAGTAGGCAGTATCTCAACCCCGTGCCTCGGAAAGCACGTAAAAGTCGTTGGTCTTGCGCCTGATCTCTCTCCGGTTGTGTCAGTTTACAGTCCCATCGGATTATGAGAGTGAGGGAATAGAGAGTGCACCTGTGCTTGCGCATACACTTGGGCACTATAATCCTGTCTTGCGCCGATGATTATTCTCCGTTGAAGCTGGCCGATGAGACCGAAATTCGGTCTGGAGGACATTATTATTATACATTTTATTGCTCATAAACATAATATAGTTCACTTTACAACTGAAAAATGGTTTATCCTCTAATACGAATGACAGGATAGAGAGTCTACTTAATCCAAGGCGCTTTACCCTCAAATAATTTTTAATACTTTGCTAGATAAGTTACTACATCAAATATATAACTTAACTTTATATTAAAACGTTTCCCATACAAAACTTTTCTTCTGTATTGTGGAGGCGTATTACATATATAAATTGCTTTTGTTAAAACATCAAGTTTCAAAATATATTTTGAACCTGCGGCCCTCGCCGCTACAACTCATTGCTTGGTTATTGCGTCACGAAGTCGCTACAGTTTAAAGTTAAATAGATATGGGCCGCGGCGGTGCCCGTGTCCTGGATGGGGCTGCGGCGGTTTTTGGTGGGGGCTGGGGGGGAATTAGTTATGGTGAGTCACAATATGTTTTGATATTTAATAATATTGAATTACAATTGAATAATGAAGTCCGTCTTATAATAACGCTTATAAAAATGTGAATATATTACGATTAACATATTTTTATTGTTGATTACCATAATAAGTAACAGTTAAATTCATAATGCATTTAATGTTATTGTAATAAAGATGCTTATATGAAAGGGAAGTATGTTCCTAATGTAAATCCCTAGGTATTAATGTATATTGACCGAAAAAAAAATAATATCTATTTAATTGTTATGAAGATGTGGCGATGATTTTATTTAAACTATCCCATATTTAAAAAAAAAAAAGTATAGTTAGTAACAATTTACAAAAGTCTTATTGTTAAATCCTTAGCTCAATTTTAAGAGTGTAGAGTCTCGAATGTAGAGTGGACGGACATTCTATTCCACGAGAGTAAAAATATTATAAAATTTCTTCAGCGATTTCTTTTCCACATTATATCTTTGAGTTACACCTAAAATAATTTAATTACATCCATAGTTAAATCTCATCTCCTTTAAAAGATTTAATATTGTCGTGATTCGCATTGTCGGTGTATACATTGTTATTTGATTACTTTTGATGATATTTTCTAGAAATTTTGAAATAACTAAGCATAAACTTTTATGAAGAGTGTAAGGTAAGGTAAGGAAGTTCGACGTGCTTCATAAACCCATACTATTATTGCAGGATATTGGGTCAATGATGAGAATTCATCGTGTAGGGGAGGGTAGGAGGGGTGTGAAACAGGAGATGGGCAGCAGCATCGTCCTAGTAACAACAAAAAATAATAAAATTTGCGATTGTCAACCCGTCGGATATTGTGTCAAATATCCCCCCATATGAGGAAATTTTTGGGGTGCAGTTCAGCAGTGGACTATTTGATAGACTGCAATGAATGTCTTACTAAGCTATATATAGCTGCTATGTTATATATTCATTACAGTATTATTGTAGGACGAATGGATCGGCACGACCGGGGAAGGACCACGCTTTCACAGAATACCAGCGCACACACTTGTAATGCTATTTTAGCAGCTTAATGCTGCTGTGTTTCGTATGGCGAGTGTAGAAATTCGGTGATCCTTTTTTACTGGAAACGTGGCATTTCATCTTGGTCCTCAGGGATGATAACGTATCTGTATTTTGATTCTTAATCGAGGATAAATGTAGATGTCTATGTCCACTTAGCATCAGGTGGACTGTTTGTCACTCGTGTGCCTTTATTTTATAAAAAAATAAAAAGAATAAGCACATTTTTATTAAGTCACTTTCTTGTTTGTTTGTCTGCCATTCCAGATGGATTCTTGCAACTTAATTTAGAGCACTTCCCGTTGAGCTAGGGACGTGACATTTTGAACATATCTCGGAATCGGATGACTATGTAGGAATATAATAAACGTGATATATTAACGTTTTAATGCAAAATTAAAAAAAATAATCATTTATTAAGGCCTACAAATATTTTTTTATACAACATTGGATGACAAACGAGCACACTGTTCAACTGATAGTAAGTGAATGTTGTGGATGTGGTGTGGAAAAAAGTTCGTTAAATCACTTCAATTTTATATTTAAAAAAAGTAAGTGCCTTGTATAAAGAATACCTACAATTAAAACGTAAAAGCGGTTGCCTTAAAATTTCACTGATATATATTCTACAATATTTATGATCATTGCGTTTCGAATATTTCTATTAAGTATTAATAAAACGGTTTTACTAAAGCATAATAAACGTAGCATCGAAAATGGCCGATTTGTATCACAGCGAAGTATTACTATGAATACACGTAATCTGCGGGAATATAGGAGTAACAAGACTCACAATCTGAGCGCGTGTTGGTTGGGGGGCTACGGGAGACTGGGGGGACCCTGGGGGGATCAGAGGTGGGGTACCTGTGTAGCGTTACAGCCGCCTGGGTGTGGTTTGCCGTTCAATAACTTAATACTCTGGAAAGGTTTTCAATGCTGAAATCTCGCTCAAGTGTAGTGCGACTGCCCCGTTTTGGTGTTTGGTTACTTTGATGGTTAACACAAGAAAAAATATTTCTAATTGAGAATATACCTATTACCTATATTTATTAATTTTATGTACTAGTCAATCATATCATAGGTATAATTGTGTGCAGAAATATATGGACGTTCAAATGTTTAAAAAAATATGGAGACAATATAGTTTAGTAATTTAGTTTTTAAATAGTAGGTAGATATTCATATACAGATAATTAATGATTTTGTTTATGCATTAAAAGCATATTGGTATTAACGTTTCCGACACAACTGTAGAACAATTATTTCTATGATAATATCTATCGATAACAAATAAGTAATGTTCGCGAGCGGTTTGTAAAGGTCGCAGACGTTTGCTGGGAACGCATAGCATTAACTAATTAGGTGTACTAACATCGATCGGTAGCGCACATCGGGCAAATAAAAGCATGTAATCCACCCGGATGAATATATGGCGGCTATTAATTGCAGGTTTGCAGGTGAGCGGCGGAGCGCGGTGTGCGTGACGGATCATGGCGGAGCGGGGCGCCGCGGCCCCCGCGCGTTAAACGCCGCCGGGCGGGTAAGCGATCGGCCCCCGGCGGCACGACGGGCGGGTCTCGTCGCCGATTGGCCGGTGAGGAGCAGGGCTCCCGCGCCCGCGCGCCTCCACCAATGGGGGCGCGGTCTGGCGGCCGAGAGCGGCGCGCCACTCGGGCGCGCACATTCGTTCCGATGCGCGGGTCGTGGGACGAGTGCACGACGGCGGCGCTGCACGCGCGCATCCTGGAGGCGCACCGCGGGCCCGGCGCGGCCGAGCCGCCCGCCTGCGAGCCCGCGCTCGAGCTGGCCGCGCCCACGCCGCTGCTGCCGTGCCCACGCTCTCCTTCAGCGCTGCGCAAGTCGCCACCGTCTGCGAGACCCTCGAGGAGAGCGGCGACGTGGAGCGGCTCGCGCGCTTCCTCTGGTCGCTTCCCGTCGCCCACCCCAACGTGGCCGAGCTGGAGCGCTGCGAAGCTGTACTCCGTGCGCGTGCCGTCGTCGCCTTCCACGCTGGCCGGCACCGGGAGCTTTACTCCATCCTCGAGCGACACCGTTTCCAGCGCTCCAGCCATGCAAAGCTGCAGGCGCTCTGGCTAGAAGCGCACTACCAGGAGGCCGAGCGTCTCCGTGGACGCCCGCTCGGCCCCGTCGACAAGTACAGGGTGCGGAAGAAGTTTCCACTGCCGCGGACGATCTGGGACGGCGAGCAGAAGACGCATTGCTTCAAGGAGCGGACGCGCTCGTTGCTCAGAGAATGGTACCTTCAAGATCCCTACCCGAACCCGACGAAGAAGAGGGAGCTGGCGGCGGCGACGGGACTGACGCCGACGCAGGTCGGCAACTGGTTCAAGAATCGACGCCAGAGGGACAGAGCGGCGGCCGCGAAGAACAGATCAGCGCTGCTCGGCCGAGGGTTCGCCTCGTCGTCCACCTACGACGAGGACTCGGCCGACTCGGAGATCAACGTCGACGAGGAGTAGCGACCGCATAGACTGATAGTGTAAATATGATCGCGGTGTCCAGGCACGAAGGATTCGCGCAAGTGTTTCCAGAACACAAGTGATTTACGTTGCAATATAGACGGTTATGTCAGTAGTTAGCTTTATGTTTCCGTGCGTATGTGATGTCGAGGCATTGTACATCAGTTCACTAGGCTATCGTTATGTTTGGAAGTGTGAAGGGAGTGAAATTAAAGTCGACATTGCTTCGTATCAGGTATGTACCTATGAAATTTGTACTGAGAAATGCCCTTCCGTTATAACAAACCCGTGAGTGTTAAACCGTTAAAAGCTTTTGCGAAATACCATAACAATTCGAGGTACGACAGGGTTCATTTAATATATCGGGCCGTATACTCTCTCACCCATTCGCAGTGGGCTAGGCTACTTATTTATAATTACATTGGTTTATTTAATATACCTAGGTAAGATTTAGATCATTATGCGTTTCTACGAGATGCATTTTATATATCCTATTTTACCAATAAAATGAAGAATTTATTTATCATATCAGCTTTTAGTTGTAAAAATTGATTAACGATGTAGATAGTTATGTTCTTATTATAGACTTTATTAAGGTATAATAAAGGTTTGTACCTGAAAATGAACGACCGCTTGCCAGTTGTCTTAATTTATTTGTTTTAGGACAACAGCAATAAGTTTTTAAGTAATTTATTATAACTTTAGAATTTGTACTCTGGTGACAGAACGCTGCAATAGGGTAAGATAATTGTCACCAAGTTTTTTGACAACGCTTCACGTTTGTAGGCCTATTTAAACAATACCAAATCAAATGCGTTAAGAGTCTAAAACCTTTGCCTTTTATCAATTATTAACAGTTTAAACATATTATAAATAGTTTTTTGTTTCTTAATTAACATACAAAAACGGCGAGAAAAAAATTTATTATATGATACCTTTACCTCTTAGATGAATTGAGTTTAGTATTTGTTTTTTTTAAAAGTTAAAATGTATCTATTGGAAAGGTATTTAATAGTTCTGTTTCTGAATAACATCCAATGACTTGCGATAATAATATTATTAAAATATGTAATCTTAAAATATTAGATACAAATCTATTTAGCTTTATTTCATTCTCTTGTTTATGCACATCATACTCTAAAAATAAAAGAAACGATTGTTTATTATGTTACGGGGGGAAAATTTTACGCTTATAATATCTACGATATATTATTTATTGCTAATCTAATATTAGATTTTGAAGAAATAAATAAAATAAATATTTTAATAAATAGAGAACCAGGCGCTAACGTAAACTCCAAACAAAAATTGTATTAAAACATATATTGTAATATTACGCTTTCGCATAAAATTTCAAGAGAAAATAGTAGTTATAGTTTTGCTAGAAAGCTTCTCTAAGCATTTCCTATTAAAATTATAAATTTATTAAAATAAATCGTGCGCATAAATTCGAGAAAAAGTAGACGCGGATTTTCCCGCCGTGCTCCAATTTATATTATTTCTTTTACATATATCAAAATATATGTCGCTAATATTTGCATAAAATGTGTATAATTAACTAACCCTATTGCAGCAATTTATTTTTAAATTTCGTCCTCAAAGTCTGAGAAGTTTTTGAAAATATTTCCGTTATACTGAATCTCAATTAATACATAGTAATTTTGTTCCTTCTCTAACAGTTTGTTCTCTAATTTGTCTGTGAATTTATATACTAGAAATGGTCTAGATTAATTAGTTAGGAATAGTACTCGCGAGAGTTGTAAAAATGTATAAACAAACACAAATTGTAAATATGATATCGACTTACATTACAGTCATTAAAGTGAAATTGTTAATAAAATTATATTCGTAAACTATCCTTTTGTATTATTTCAGCTCTAGGCCGTTTTTAAAATTAAGGTGTCTTCATTTTTACAATTTTTATATTGCATTGTCGTAAATTCTACGGAAATATTTACATTAAAAGGAAACTTAATTATTATTTTTGCAATTACATGTTCAAATATTTGATTATAGTTTTACATTTAAACAATAGCATTAAAACATTTTTAAATACAACCCAGTTGGTGAGAGTGCAAATAATTACATGATTCAGAGTAAATGCAGAAAATCTACTTAGATTTTCTTCTCAAATTAGTTTTAAAAAAATATTATTTTTTATTTACTCCTGTTCCTGCCAAAAATTATGATGAGATTCAGGGATTTTGTAAATATTATACATGACACGAACATGAAAAACTTTTTCGCTGTTTTCCACTAACGGTAAATTTTATTTTAGAAATGATATAATGTTAAAAATCTGTTTTTTTAATTAGCAACGGAAATAAAAAATATTGAAATATTTTCTCTTGATGAATAAAAATACTAGTTTTTCAATAATAATTACCTATATATCTAATTTATAATTCAAATCGACGATGCTTACAATGAGAATGTTTTTTTTTTTAATTTATATTTTACTAGCTTGCCAGGCAAAAGTTGTTCTGCCCTTTTCGACGACCCTTTGTCATGTCCTATTAAAAATCCTTAAATTAGCAAAAAAATTGTGGCTTACTCATGGGCAAAAAAAACTATCCTATCTCTCAAGTTGGACCAAACTGCATACGGTGTGCAAATTTGATTAAAATCAGTTAACTGGTTTAGGAGTTCATCGCGGAAAAACAACGTGACACGAAATTTATATATATATATATATATATATATATATATATATATATATATATATATATATTTTTTATTAAGATGACAAGGATAACAATGAAGTAAATACTCGCTGAATGGCTATACTTAGCCTTTGAGCAAGAAAAGAACGAGCCCTCTTGTCACCAGCAGCGATGATAAGTCGAATGTTTTACTGTTGACACAAAGATGTCAACAGTAATATAATAAGGTAACAGTAGTATAAAAATATAGGATCAAGGCTACAAACGATCACACAGTTCTCATGATGGTAAATGATTGCTGTATCCCATAGACTTTTACATTTATCCTCAATTAAAAATCAAAATGCAAAAACGCTGCCACCCCTGAGGCCAAAGATGGAACATCTCTTTTCCAGTAAAAAAGGATCTCCGGTTCTCTACACTCACCATACGAAACACAGCAGTATTTTACTCTGGTATTTCGTGAGAGCGTGGCACTCCCCGGTCGAGCCGACCCATTCTTGCTATAACTATACTACTCATATAGCTGCAGCGTGGCCCTACCTGTGTACTGGAATCTTACCTTGCAAGTATCCCGACATGCAATTGGACTCTTCCCTTTGAAATAAAGGTCGACACCGATTAGCTGCTGCAGGAAAGTCTGAAGATTATACCGTGTTAGTAGTAGTTAAAGACATGACCTAAGGGAGCCGTGGTCGCGGTAACTCACCTTAAATTTCGTGATACATTGCTTATATTTTTTTAAATTGTAAACTGTAGTGACAAAGGTAAACGAACTTACAGCCTACCTGATAGTAAGTAGTTACTGCAGTTATTGGACACCTGCAATCAATTTCGAATGAAATAGGCTATAGATACATTGTTAGCATGCATTAAAATGCCTTTTTTACCCGAGTGGATGACAGCAAGTCAGCGTTATGCTTTTTATGAATACCTGTGCATGAATATTCGATTATTCATACCCTTGATGCATCCCGACGGGTGATGAATGTAAACCAATGAGGTGCTATCCGATTTATCTGCTTGTTCATGCTGTTATAGGTTAGTTTTTGGTTTGTTTGAGAATTAGACAATCTGAAAATTGTCTACGTAGGAACTCTACATATTTTCTCGGGTTTTCTTTCTTTTTTTAAGGAGTAACGGTGACAAACGGGAACACAGTTCACCTGATGGCATGTCCATGCTATGGCTCATAGACACGTACATCTAATATCGATTAGGCATTTTCACTCTTCAGGATTAAGATTGAATGTCTCGATGCCTTTAAAAATAGTTTTAGGTTCTTTACACTTTCCATATGAAACACGACAGCATTCAACTGATATTTTACGCTGGCATTTTGTAACAGCGAGGTCCTTCCCCGGTCGAGTTGACAAATTGGCGCTGCAGCCTCAGTGTAGCTGCAGCGTGACTCTATCATGTTGTTGTATTGCTCTATGTTGCTCTATCATGTCAAGTATTGATTTCATTCACAATGGGTGCGTTTGGCAGAAAAAAGCGCTAGCAAGCGCTTGTAAGCAAAATGGCGATCGTAAGCGGTAAGCGCTGTCAAATCGTAAGTAGCTATTTTCCTCCAGGACACGATGTTAGTTTTAACCGGGGGAACCTAACCTAATTTAAATATATGTTTGTAAAGTATTCATATTAAAAACTTACCAATCATGAATTTTTAATAACATGTATATGTCTATTCATGTCATTATATTACTTAAAACTAATATTGCACAAAACAACTTATAATTTCTACTTCAAAACAAACAAAATAAATAAGCAAAATGGCGGATTGTGTCAGCGCTACTGAAGTAGCAATCGTGTCCTGGCCGAAAACTATTTTAGCGCTTGTAAGCGCTAGCTAGCGCTTTTTTCTGCCAAACGCACCAATTATAATATAATTCTTTATAATTTGTAGACATGTATTGTCTTTTATTAGTAATTGTTAACAGTCGATTAATGCAAAGTTTTTTTAACGATAATGCTCTTGTCGTCAGACCCAACTTCTCGGGCGGGTGCATAACAATTCAACAAAGATTCTTCTGATTGAGTATATATATTATATTGTATACCATTACATAATAGATAGATAAATATAATAATAAACAAAACTAAAAGATACCCACCGAAATCTAACTTATCTCTTTTATAGGTGGTCACGAATGGGTCGGCACGGCCGGGAAAAGATTATGCTCTCGAAGAATACCAGCATAAAATTGCAGCTTTATGCTGCTGTGTTGCGTATGCTGAGTGTAGACAACTGGAGACCAATTTTACTGGAAATGAAGCATTCAATCTTAGTTCTCAGGGTTGAAAACACTATTTGATTCCTACTTGAGGATACACGTAATTTTTAA